CCTCAAATTTTATTCCCCATTTTACACATGAGAAATCTGAGGCCCAGAAGGTGGCCAAGGCCACCCTGGTGATGAGCAGCAGAGCCAGGGCTAGAGCTTTGACCTTGGAGGCCCTACAGTGAGTGGCCACACTGCTTGTCAGTCGTTATTTGCAGCGCTATTTTCTTATAGGGATACATGTGTGTACTGAGGTTTCCTGGAAGACAGTGGACAAAGACTTACTATAATGTTGGCAACTCTACTTTGTCCCACTTTTCAAAGGGAGGCCTCCAGCCCAGGGGCAGTGGTGAGAGCCTTGGCTTGCTTCAGAGAGTCTCTGCTAACCCTGGGTACTGAACCTCTAACGGTGGCAGTGCTTGGGTCTTGTGGGGGGAGGGTGAGGCAGCTCCACGTAGTGAAGGAAAGCCAACATTTATTAAGTACTCACACTGTGTCGGGCAGTGTGCTAAGTGCTGGGAGTGCAGACACAGGCAGCAACAAAGAGGGCAGAGTGGAGGGCAGAGTGAGCTGGAACTCAGGCCTGGAGGAAGAAGGGTTCTGGAGAGTCAGGAGCAGAGCCTGGGCAGAAGGAAGGACCTCCTGGTGATGATGGAAGATGATGAAAGAGAGCAGAATGCCCCTGGCTCGGGGAGCTCTCCGGACTCCCGGCTTCGCATTGTCCTGGGTGGTAACTGTGTTCACAATGACATTTCCCCGAGTACCTGACCATCCTTGTGTCAGCTAGCACAGCAGTGATACCGTTCTCAAATAGAAACAGATGTGGGAGACTTAGAAAGCCACCGATTAACATTATCTCAGTTTTATTGTATTTTTATTGATTTTGTTAAACATTTCCCAGTCACATTTCACCTGGTTTGGTGCCCTCAGGAATTTTGCAGTCTGCTTTGCTGGTGTGAGTTTGACACCCCTAAAGGCTGCATTGTTCATGCCTTGGCTAGTTTATCCTAGGAACCTCCCATTACCTCCTCGGCTCCTGCAGATTTTGTGCCCAGGCGTCCTCAGTAAGAGGCTTAAGGATTGGAAAAGGCACCGCATTGAGTCACGGGACCTGAGTTCCAGATGTGACTGGGCTGCCTCCTAACTTTGTGACCCTGGACAAGTCACTTCTCTCTGAACCTCAGTTACCCCAACTGTAAAATTAGGGGAAATGCGCTCAGTAATCTCTCAGATCCTGTATAGCTTCACCTCTCTGGTCTTGTCTTCCTTTTGCACTTTTTGGTACTTCATGATTCAAAGGTGAAAATTGCATTTTAAAGGTGGCATGTCCTGTTATTACTACTATTACCCAAGCCGTTCTCTGCCCCTTCCAGACATGATTGGATTGTTGTTCACTCTCCAGGCATCCAGGACCTTGGGCTGCCCCTTGAAGCAGCTAGTTTGCTGAAATTCCTAGGTCATAAGAAATGCAGTTACAGACTGAGGGTCCATAGGAGGGATTCAGAGAATTATCAGAAGATCAGCTCGCCAGGGATGGGGGCTGGGCACAGATGGAGACAACAGTAGAGACTAGCTCCAACCTACAAACTTTTAATTGTTTAGATTTAGTCCAAACTTCAAATAGACAATGTCAGTGTGTTAACAAAAGTATCTATGAAAGAGAATGACTCTATAGATAGGAAACTCCTTGAGACCCAATATGGATGTCTGCTAAGTACAGAAAGCAAGAGCTTTCCCAGAAATAAACTTAGGTATCTGATAAATTGTCCTGGGATTCCCAGGCTATTCCCTTAAGGCAGTGGCCAAGGCCCCAGGCAATTCAATAAGGCTTTTGATTCAGCCCTGTTAAATCTACTCTCCCAGCCCGCCCTAATCCTTTCCCCTTCCCACCTCCAAAGGAAAGAGATCTCTCTGCCAGCTTTGGCCTGCTAGTCTGAGAAGCAGCAGGGCCTTGTGGAAAGAGGGACAGGCAGGAAATCCACCAGCCTGGCGTTCAGTCCCACCTCCCAGCACTTACTAGCTCTGTGACCTGGAGAAAGTCACTTCAATTTTCTCTGCCTTTGTTTCCTCCTCTGTAAAATGAGAATAGTAATCTTTGTGCTGTGTATCTCACAAGCTTGTTTTGATGAAAATATTTTTCAGCTTTAAATCTTCATAGAAATGTGAATTATCGTCATAATTTCTAATCATTCCTGCTGCTCTGCATCTCTGCCACATTATTTAAAGTGACACAGCACCGGCCGAATCCATAGAGTCTGCCCTCTGAGCTCAGCGTATTACAGATGGAGCCCTCTGTGCCCTGATGTCTGTCACCAAGTGGAGTCAAAGCCGGCAGCTTCCCCACGGCAGACTGGCTGCTCTGCAGACCCCTTGGCATCCTGGGGGCTTCTCCGTTGAGGCTGACAGCACCCCTCCTGGAGCTAAGCAGAACCTCCTAGCCACAGAAGGAGCTTGTGACCACCACTTGGGAGACCTTTTGCCTATCACATATTGCAAGTTGTAGTCTGGTCATATGGTTAGACTTGCTCACCCTCTTAGGAATCAAATGGACAAGACTAAATTTCTCCCTTACGTGCTGTTCACAAGACTTAAAGTGGGTGAACACCCAGCATGCCCTGGCAATGGCCTTGCAGTGAGTCTTGAGATGTGAATGTAATCAAAGAGTCAATTCCCTTGATTTCTTAAGAATGTAAGTTCAAAATTATGGTATATGATTGTGATGGAATACTATTGTACTATGAGAAATGGCAAGAAAGGGGCAGCTAGGTGGCGCAGTAGATAGAGCACCGGCCCTGAAGTCAGTGGGACCTGAGTTCAAATGCGGCCTCAGACCAAACACTTGACACTTACTAGCTGGTGACCCTAGGCAAGTCACTTAACCCCAATTGCCTAAAAAAATAAAAATAAAAAGGTAAAAAAAAATGATGAGAAGGATGGTTTCAGAAAAACCTGGGAAGACTTACATGAACTGATGCAAAGTAAAGAGAACATTGCACACAGTGACAGCAATATTTATTATAGGATGATCAACTGTGAATGACTTCAATATTCTCAGCAATACAATGATTCAAGATGATTCCAAGCCAAGTGTGTTAAGCTCTTGATGAAAAATGCTGTCCACCTCCAGAGAAAGAACTGAATGAGTCTGAAGGCAGATTGAAGCAGACTTTTTTTTACTTCATTTTTGTTTGTTTTGAGGGGTCTTTTTGGTCTGTATTTTCTTTAGTAACATGGCTAATATGGAAATATTTTGCATGACTGCGCATGTATAATCGATATCAAATTGATTGCCTTCTCAACTGGGGGTGGGGTAGAGGAGAGAATTTTGGAATTCAAAAATTTTTTAATGAATGTTAAAAATTGTGTTTATATCTAACTGAGAAAAAATAAATTTAAAAAATGAAATTTTTTAAAAGTACAAGTTTGGTAAAGTTCAAAATCACCACCTGGTATTGTGACTTCTGCAGGGTAGGCTCACCAGTTAAAATGTGTCCATGCTAGCTAGGTCGCCTTGATTTAGAACTTTGAAATTAATGAGCCTTCATAAAATATATTTTAATAAAAGAGGGTTGTTGTAGGATCAGCTGAAATTATCCAGCTTTCTATTTATATCTGTATATCTACATCTGTATATTCATATACCTTAATGTCAGCTGCTGTTATCCAGTCCAGGGCCTTGCACATAGTAGGTGCTCAATAAATGTTGAATGGAGTTACAAAGGGAAAAGTTGATCTTAATTATTTCCCACAGTTGGAAAAGAAAGACTTTGGGTCATTCTTTCATTTCAAATCCCAAATAGTGTCTGTTTGGATTGGTTACATTTTGTGTAGCTAATAATTAGACTATAGACTTAAGTAAATGCTTTGTTAAAATCAATGACAAAATCACCTTTTTATTAGCTGCCATCACAAATGACACTACTTGGGTATGAGCTAGACTGTCACAGAGTAAGAGTCTTTAAAATTCCTCTCGGATTTGCGGGTATTAGCAAGTCCCTATCCACATCCTCTGAAGGGTTTTTGATGTCATTTTGGCTATTGAACTAAAAAATGTGAACTATTACTTTGTTGATCTTGTTCTTAAACCAAACTGCATTATCAACGGAGAGTGTGTTCTTAGTGTATTGTTAAAAGTACTTTAAAAACTTGTAAATCCTGGTAATTTATGTTCCTCCAGCCTCCACTACCTCATTCTCTCCTTCTGGTTTTCATTTGAATGCAGTCCTGTCTGGGTGTGTACCTGTAAAATTGGGTTTTTCCAAGTACAATTTACAGTCGTGACCTTAGGTTTTACAGTGTCCCTAACCTTCGAGAAGCTTCCTTCTCTGCTGAGAAGCCAACTGTGGGTCAGCCAACCCTTTCATATTCTAATTGTCTCATCAAGGTTACTTGAAACAGATCTGATTTTGACATGTCTTGGTTTATCGTGGAGACTTTGTAGGACTGGTGAGTAAATTAAGAGGGTTCCCCAGCTAGCCCATTAATTGCTCCATGTCTTAAGATGTACACAGCTGTAAACCTAGCCTACTTCAAGACAACAGTCCCATTTATCTAAACAATTCTCCTTTTAGACTGGATGGCAGTGATAAAAGCTAAGATAAGGAAGACTGAGGGGAGGATCTTTCCGGGTCTCTTCTTGCAGAAACTGTGGTGAGGGACTCACAATCAGCTTTTCTTTTCAGCCTCTGAATGAAATGTCTAGTAGATGTTATATTCCCTGTATCCCAGAGGCTGTTACAGAAGAGCCAGCCGGCCAGGAGGCGGGAGGGAGGCCCGGTGGCCCTGTCTGGGTAAATGTTTATCCTGGATCATTCTGCAGGAAGCCTCTGGCTCTCTCCCTCACTGTCCCTCTAGCCCTGGCACGGCCAGGAAGCTCATGCGAGCGAGGGAGCGAGCGCTTGCCTGAGCCCTGGGAAATTGGCCTTTCCCCCCCCTCAGGGAGAGGAATGGGGCGTTTCCATTGGTATGATCCTGCTCGGCACCTCAGGAGCACCCTCGCTAGCACTGGGCCGTGATCTGGGAAGCTGGACTAGGGGTGCTCACGTTCCTCTCCTTGTCCCCAGGTCATCGTGCAGTCGGGCCGTCACCCCACGGTGCTGCAGAAGCTTTGCCAGTTGCCTTTCCAGTATTTTAGTGATCCTCGTCTCATCAAGGTGCTCTTCCCTTCACTAATCGCTGCTTGTTACAATAACCCTCAGAACAAGATCATTCTGGAGCAGGAGATGAGTTGTGTCTTGCTTGCCACGTTCATTCAGGTACAAACATTCCAACAGGAGCTTCCATTTAGGCCATTATTCCATGTGGGTCTAGGTCTCTGACTTTCTGTGTACCCGATTCAGTAAGAAAACAGAAGGAAACCTTGGGGGCCTGTTCATTGCCAGACCCCTTGCAGCCCACTAAGAAGACCAGCATTTCTATGGTTGAAGAGAACTTTCTGCCGTGCCAGGCTCACCCATCACTAGCTTAGCGGTGTCTGGGCAGCGGCTGTAGCTCTAAGGGAGGATTTCACTTAAGGCAGCAAAATGGCCAAGCTGCTCAGCTCGGGGCAGCTGATAATTACTGTTTTTAAAGACTGCTTGAGTCTTTTCATTTTCCTTGTCGCATTAGGGCTGTAGTTTGTGTTTTATCAGGATTTGGAGAATGCAGTTTAGACAGCAAGTCAGAAAAGAAGTCGACCTGTGTGGTTGACTTTAAGCTGTCAAAACAGCCCCAGAAATGTGAAGTGTAACTTGCAGATGTTTTTTGATGTGACTCTGATTCCAGTATCTCTCGTGTTAGGCTTTTAAAAAAAATCCCAAACTTGGACAAGTGTCATCTTCCTACCGTGAATGTGTCTTTAAGTCAAAGGTAATGTTGTGGCATAAGCAGCATTTTCAGCATCCAAAGCCGCCTGGCTAAGTGGACACAGAAAGTCAATTTGGCCCTTACCTAGTGTTTGCTCCCGAATCCAGGGATTGTTTTTCCATCAGGATAAAAGAAAAAACTTTTAAAAAAATTTTAATCGTTCAGCTTGGTTCACATTTTCCACTGTAAGATGAAATGCCACTATTTGCTCAGGAACAAATGTAGGAACTGCTTTCCAGAGCTCTTCGTGCCTGTAGTATTTAACCCCCCCCCAAAAAAAATGGATGTATTTCTTTTTTTGTTGTTCTGTTTTATTTTTTAGTTTACTCTGGCTAATACAAATGACTTGTAATACTTGTTTGATAGTAGATGACTGATTAGTAAATGCATCTTTAAAAGACGGACTTTTAAAAATGATTTATGACACTTTCTTTGTGAAAGACATTTTTTTTACAGTCTACAATTCAGTGGTGAGGGAATAAACAAAGTTAAAGGTCAATCACTTTAAAAAATCTTTCAGCCCAGCTATTCTGTTTATAATTCTTGACTTCGTTTTCTAAAATAGTTTAAAAAGTCAAACACACACGTCAGAACCCATTGGCTTTTCAGGAGTGGTTTTCTAATAAGATGTTAACAAGAGAGCCTAACTATCACATAGATTTCAATACTTTGTATCATTCATAAAGTAAATTTTGAAAAATTTAATGTAAAAAATACAGAGCTATAGCAGGAATTTAAAAACCCTTTTATGGTCATTTTTCAAATCCCAGAATATGCAGCTGGGCCAAACCAAATTATATGATTATTTAAAGTTTTAGATGTCTTGAGAAATTACATCAGTTTCTTAACAAAAATCCGTGTGATATCAAATGAGAAATAAAAGCAAATCCATACACAGCAGATTCTCAACTATGCATTTTCATTTGATATTATACATACCGAGGAGGGGAGGGTTCCTTTATATCTAATCTTCCCTAAAAATGTACATGTTACAAAGAAATTAATTTTCCAAAAACAGTAAAACTTCTTTCTGACGCTAGTGTGGTTACTGAGAATTTCCTGGTGCCTTCACACACTGACTTTGTTAACTGGAGGGATTGGACTCCTTCTAAGCCCTCTTCCAGCTCCTGAAGCCTGTGATGAAGAGGGGACGGGAGGCAAAGGAGGGAATGGGATAAGCCACTTTCCTGGCTTGGTTTGGCCACCACTGTCATGTGTAGCATCACATCATTTGTGGAATGAACTATTAAGGATTCTATCCTGTTCATTTCATCAAGTATTAATGTTCAGGTTCACCATTAAAAATACTGTTTCTTTAAAATGGAAATTTAACATTTTTGATCACTGAGTTACTGTAGAATTTTGCAGGATAGTTGAGGGTTTTTTCCAAACCCGAGCAGAACTGCTCACTGCTAAGCCACCATAAGAGTCTAGTAGGCTACAAGCTACAGACTGCTAAAGCTAATGAAATAATGTGGAAAAAGGTAGATTTGCACAAAGCAAAGTTTGAGGCATGGCTCGATGCTAGCTGCCATGGTAGACGGTAATTTTTGACAATTGTGTAACATGAATATCGTTTTATGGAGATGATTATTGTGAAAGCAGTTACATATAGTACTAGGTTTTAAGGATCATCATTATTTAGTCTTCCTTTATAATAAGCCAGTCCCAGCTTCCATTTAGAAATTTCCTTAGATTCTAACAATGTTGGATTCCAGGCTCATCAGGCAAAAGAGGTTGCAGAGCGGTTGCTTCATGAGGATTTTCAGTTTATTTCATGCAAATTTACTGTTTTTACACTCACCGTACAAACAGTTTTCTTTTGTCTACCCAGGACTTTGAACCAATTCCAGGTCAAACTGAAGACTTGTATCCTCAAACAAGGGGTATGTATGTCTCTTGAAATCTAAGACATTCTTTATGAGGCTGATAACCCAAGCTGCATGTGTATTCCCCATCTTCCATCACTTATAATTTCCCATTATTTTATCATCAAGGACTCGGGTTTCAAGTGCCAAATATATTTCAAGGCAAAAAGTAATTGTAGATTTTACCCTTCAGCAGGATTCCACATGTTGCCTCACTGAGAAGTCTAAAAGACTCCAAGGAAAGCCTTGGTGGTAGTTTCGTCTCCTTCACCATGTCCTTTCCCTGGCTGTGACAAAGAGAAACCAGTCACTACATGACAGAAGAGAATCAGAAGAATCTGATTTCTACAGAAACCTTTCTGAAGAGCTTCCAGAATGCTAATTAATTACCTCCTCTTTCTGCTGTCAACAAGTGTTATTTAAGAAAGCATTAGATAAAAACAGATATGCAAGATAAGGAACATTAGTTTAAAGTACTCAGTGAAAGATACAAGTGAGGAGATTGTTGGTTTCCTTCCCTGTTTGGTGCTGTGATGTAATCTGTCTTAGCTGGGGGATAGGGAGAATTCCCCCAATGGTGAATTTAAGCCCTTGAACTTTTTTTATTGAAAATATTTGTTTTACATGCAGAAAAAGCCATCAAATTAGCAGAGTTCAGAGGCTGAAAGATTTACAAGCCCTTTTCTGTTGCTCTCCTGCTGGGACATTTCCCTCTGATCAGAGTTGAATGTTAAGGTTGTTTGAAATTGTCTTTTTGTCATCGTCTTCCTAGATTGTAATTTTCAAAACCAAGGCTTCACTAGCTTCTTGGTGGCACCCAGTTTTGCAGTAGTTAGAGAATATCCTAATTAAGAAAACTTGCATTAGAAGTTCCCAATTCTCCATTTCTTTTTTAATTCTTTAAAACACTGAAAATTCCATCTCCTGGCTGCATTCCCCTCTGGGGCCCCTAACCTTGAAGCCTATCTTGGTGCGTGTTGGATTCTTTTGCTAAGAAAACAAAAAGTCATTTGGAATAAGCAGGTGTTGAAAAGTTTCAACAAGAAAAAACAACAACAACTGAAGTGGTTACATTTGTCATTTTAAAAAACCAGGTTCTGTGGACCCAGGTGAGTGAAGAAGGAAACAAATACTGGGGCCCTGTGCCTACCACCTAGGACCGGGGCCAGGGCTGCTGTTTGCTTGTTCTGCCCAAGAAAGAGGCCTTTCTCACCACTGAGCCCTCCAGCTATCCAGGAGGCCCCCAAACCCCAGTTTGCTCCGTGTGGAAATACTTGGAGATGTTGAAGGTTTTTATTTTCAGTCATACAGCAAATTTTGTGTTAACGAGGAAAAACTTGCAGCCTTCCTTTTTCCTATTTTCTCGTGAAATAAACACTAGCCCCTTTTGCTTTATCTGGAAGACAGATCCCCAGCTGTTTCCTTGGCACACTTTGTGGGCCAGTTAGTGAAATCCTGACACTTCTAGAGCAGGACATTAGAGGCACAGAGACCTTTTGTAGTGGAAGAGGTTTTAAGCATGTACCAGATTACAGCTGGCCTGATGCACCATAGTTCCACGTCCGTCTGTCCCCCGTCCCCCCTACCCCCCAAGTTCTGTACTGGATGTCCACTGTGACTCTTAGGGACGCCTCATGTTTGACAAAGATCATAGCATGAGCATCGCTGTCAGTTTATTCCCTGGGCATCTCCCTTTCACGGGCTGACTTTGAACACTTACCCACCATGAAAGCGTTCATACTTTATGTCCTGAGCCTGCGACTCAGCTGTTCAGTGCTACACAGGGAGAAGATGGGCTTCTTTAAGGGACTGAATACGTGTGGTTTTGCTCTCATCCCTCTGATAGGGCACTTCGAAGCCACAATTTGTAAATGAGTCTCTCTCATTTGTCTCCTCTGTCATTAGATGTAAAGCTGAATAAGGAAGTAGGGAAAAATTGCAAGTTATACTGAAAGGAAAATCTTGACATAGCTCCCGAAAACGAAACATGGTTTGGTTTTTGCCTAAAAGGAAATAAGGGCAAAATTTTGTGTTGAAATATAAACAGATGTCTTTTTCTGGCAATTTGGGATGGCGCAAAATAAACAGTGATTTTGTCCTCCTTCCTTTTTTTAAAACTACAAAATTAGAAGCAGTCGTTTTTAAAGATGCTTTCCTAATTAATATTATCCGAATGCACTGGAGATATTGTGACCGTGTTTGTTCTTTTTTTAAATGAACTTACCAGATTTATTATTATTTCATTTAAACCTGACCATCTGTATTTCCAACCTCTTAAATATTGAAATAAGTTTAATTTCTTAGCACACCCAAAATTATAATCTAATGTTATGCTCTCTCTCTTTCACAGAAAAATTTTTCACTTCCCAAGACTACCTTGAGCTATGTAACAGATTTCCAGAGCAGGCCTGGGAAGAAGCCCGACAATTTTTCTTGAAAAAAGAGAAAAAATAAGTTTGCTTTGGTTGGTTCTGATTGGATGCATTCTGATACATTCATTGTTAAAAACAAACATTCTAACTGTTCACAAAAATTTTTTTGATACTCAGTACCTGCACTGTAGATATGACATATACTTTGCACTATTTATAATTATTGTAGATACTTTAATGTTCTGGTTTCTAGTTTTGCAAGTTGAGTTTGTTTCATTTATGTATAACATGATAGGGTTTGGGAGCCCTGTGATGGTAAACTTCTTGCATTGCAATATTGGTGAAATTAGGCTTAAAAATGAGAAGATCAGTTCTGTTCTATATATCTTGTAATAAAATAACTTATTCTGTTTTGCAGTGTGACTTTTTGTATTTCAGCATCAGGGTTTCTGAAAAATTACTTGTCTCACTTCTTGGTAGAGCAATGCAAATTTGAAACAAAAATTTTAAAACATTCTGGAAATCTCTTCAAGTAATTCAAAAATTGAAATTAAGCTGCTTTTTGAATGTTCCTTTTTAAGGCTTAGAATTAAGGATATTTGTGGCATTTCTGCATTTCTAATGGGGTGAGATATTTGTAGTGACTGTTTAAAACCAACTGGAAAGATGGCTTAAGCATGTCAGTCATTCCAAGTCTTCTTAGCCAAAACCTTTTTAAACATCAGGAGGCTAAACTTACCCAAAACAAAAATAGTAATTGACTAGGGCATTATCAATCCCCCAGTATTGTTTCAAGGAGCATAAAAGTGTTCTAATCAATCATTAAGCATTTATTAAGCTTCTATATCTAGAATCAGACCTCTGGTAACTGTAAAAATGTTTTTTAAAAGTTTACTCCAGCGAAAGCCATTGTTTAACATTCAGTTGCTAGCTGGTGATCCCATCGGCATGTTCATCCTTGTTCTGGAAAACAAGGCTTGAAGGGTTAGAGCTAGGTTCCTTTGCTCCTCTGGCTTTCTGGAGTCTTTTCTGTCTGAATGTGAGGTTGGAGAGGAGAGGGGCTTTTCATAGCATTGCTCCTGTCCAGAGTTTAAGGGTGATCTTTCTTCACTGTGGGCCCGAGGATCAGCTCACTGTTAGAAGGCAATACACAACTAACATTCATCAGAACAAGTGGGAAATGACACACGAAAGGGAGTCACAGTCACAGCTGTTTTTTAAAAAGGAAAAAAGAAACCCAGAAGACATTTTTCACCAAGCACCTTCCCAACAAAGGACACGCCCCATGGGGCCCTTCTATTTTAAATTTGCCCTGTTTGCAAGTAAAGAAGAAATGACAGGTTTGGCCCCAGAGTGAGCTTCGAGGTAAAAGCAGGGTTGTCACTAGTCTACCTGCAGCCCCTCTCGGGCTCCAACAGAGGCCTGGGAGGGGAAGAAGGCGCTTCCACGAGCACAGCTAGAGTCAGTCGTCTTTGGGAGACCCATCTTCCTGGCTGCAAATCTGAGGTTTGGGAACTTTATTTGGCACACTAAACATGAAGTTTCCCCCCGACAATTAGCAGGTGGTCTCCGCAGCAACATTTGAAGTTTGGGATTCTTGTCAGAAATACAGACTTTTCTTATGGGAAAAGAAAGTGAGGTGGAGGGAAGAGGGCCAGGTACTTGATCCCAACAGTGTTAGGACTCACCGAGCCGGCTCTTTTTTTAAATTAATAAGTCCTGGTTGGTTGGTTGATTTAGAAGTTGGGTGGAAGCGTTTTTAAATGCTCACTGCCTCGGGAGCACTGGGGCTGGGGGCAGCTGGCCTGCCGTGGGTCGCATGATCTCGATGATCCAGGGAGGGGGCTCGCATAAAGCCCCTGGGATGCATTTTGTTACAAGCTTTAGGCAGCAGGACCGAGCAGAAATGTGCTGAGCTCCAGGTAGTCTGAGAAACTGGAGCGCCGGGATCGGCCACTTCTCAAACAATGATCTCCCATTCTGACCTAGGTTTCTTTTCAGGTCCCTTCTCCTTCTGCTTCCTGGTGCTAAAAATGAAGGGGTTGGAGGGTCCTCGAAGCTCACCTATTCTGTTAAAAAGGAAAAAGTAGCTTTTCGACCCCTTTCCTTCCTATGGGCCCTAAGCAGGGACGGGCACCGACTGGGAGAAGGGTGGCCCCATTCCTGGGTAAACAGCACCCGAAGAGAGGAGGTTGAGGGAGCCAAGTCGGAGCTTTTTACAGCCTTGGGCAAGACGTCCGAGCGGGCGCCTCAGCTCTTTGAGCTGGCCCCAAAGGCTGGCACAAACCCGTCACCTCTGGTCACAAGGGCAGATCCCGGGGCCGCTCCCTGGCATGAGTCTCCGCTCGTTTCCCACTTGGGGATTCCCGCCTCTCGGGTTATTATAGCCCTGGGTTTGGGAGAAGGTAGGGCGGCCACTGGCCACCAGATGGGCCGGCCTTGGAGGGATGTGACCGTCGGGGAGGTTGTGAGCCTCGAGGCAGGTGCCAGCAATCCCCTGGCCCGGGAGGGGCTCACTAAACTAACTGACGTCCTGGGCGAGCGGAGCGCTGGCCCGAAGCGCTCGGAGGATTTCCCGAACCTTGCCCTGCGCCTTCGAAGAGAGAGGATGCGGAACCCTTCGGAGGGAAAGGCAGAATCAAATATTTATAAGATTTCCTGCGAGACGTTTCACAATAGAATATATTTCTTATCTGGTCAGGGTTTTGCCAAAAAGCCATAAATAATTAAGACAGTTGTGATTAACCTCCCAGAAACCAGACCAGGATTTGCAATTAAACATTTAATTGAAATGACCACGGAAGAGTCCTCTCTTTCCCTCTCGCCGTCAAGGGTCCGCGGGGTTGGAGGGGAGCTCCCGGCCACCGACGTGCGCCGCTCCCAAGGACTCTTTCCGTGGGGAGTGTGCCGAGGGCACGACGGACCGCCCTTGGCCCGAGCCGTCGCCGCCCCCACGCCCTTGGGGGGCGCAGGGCTGGCCCACCTTTCCCCCTGCCTGCCTCCCTCCCTCCCTCCCTTCCTCCCACGGGCCCCTCCTCTCCGACCCCGGCAGATGTGATTTAAATTCCCCGGCGCGGCGCGCTGTTCCCTTTTACGACTCCGAGACATTCCCGGGGGCCGGGGGCCAGGTGAGCGCCGAGCTGGTCGCCGCATCTTGTTTCAATCTAGGCCTTAGGCTCGGTGGTCTCCCCCACACCGGGGCTCCGCTGGTCCCCCCCGTAATCCTCTGTGCCCAGGCCGGGACTCCGGGCTCCGTGGGAGAGGTCTGACGAGACGCGATCCCCACCTCCCAGAACTGAGGGTCCGACTGCTGTCACTCCATCCTTTCGTCCGGCACGTTCTGGAGGTCAGGACTGCAGCGAAGGCCGGGCATGTCCGGGGCGCGCTGACCTCCAAGAAGCCCCGGCGCGGACCTGCCCGGGGAATGACCCATTTCTACTCCGCCCTGGCCACAGTCCGCGGGCAGTGGAGGGTTCTCCCTGGGCAGAGAAAGCGAGCTCCAAAGGAGGGTGGGGGGTGGTCATCCATGGCCAAGAGACCGCCTTTGCCCTCCGTCCTTTCCTGCCCAAACCTGCCTCCGCAGCCGTTTGGCCGGTACCTGGGAGCCCCAAAGCCCTGATCCCCTCCCTGCCCCGATGGGATGGGGCGGGGGTGCCCAGCGGACCTGCCCCAGAGACAGCTGAGAACCTCCTTCGGCAGGCCCGGTCACCCTCTCTTCTGTGGGAGTCTGCCCTTCGGCTGGCTCTGCCTGTCACCACCTCGCTCACTCCTCTGCCCTCGCCCATAAAACCTGTCTGCCTGCCGACCTCGTCCCTGTCACTTCGTCCAGGACTTCTTTCACCTAGCTGAAGCCCTTGGGCTACATTAATCTAGCAATTGCGCGCTGCCTGGCCCCGACCACCCTTATTCCCACTCCTCTCTCTCTCTCTCTCTCTCTCTCTCTCTCTCTCTCTCTCTCTCTCTCTCTCTCTCTCTCTCTCTCTCTCTCTCTCTCTCTCTTCCTCCCCCCACTCCCCACTTCTCATCCTCACTTCCCCATCTCTCGTACGTCTGTTTCTCTTTATCCAGCATATCCCTTCACCACCGCCACCTCCCCTTTCAGGTAATCCTCACCTAGGTCTTATAGCTTCTGGCGGAAAAAAAGAGCAATGAACAAAGGAGTTTAGCTGGCTGCGGATGCAGAGACTGCGCCTCTCTTTTTCTTCGAGTCACTCTCCCTTATGTTTGCGGTCAATTCCACAAGTATTTTTTTTCTTTTTGGTGAGGCAATCGGGGTTAAGTGACTTGCCCAGCGTCACACAGCTAGTAAGTGTCAAGTGTCTGAGGCCGGAATTGAACTCAGGTCTTTCTGACTCCAAGGCCGGAGATCTATCCACTCTGCCACCTAGCTGCCCCTCAAAAGTATTTTTAAGCGCCTACTTTGTGCCTCGCGCAGTTCGAGGTTCTGAAGATCCCGAGACCAGTAGAAGAAGCAGGCCCTGTCCTCAAGGAGCTTTCGTTTTGTTGGGGAGGGGGGATCCGTTCTACAGAACGGATTTGTCCTCTTGTCTAACAGTATTTTAAATTATTCTTAGCAAAGTTTCCTAATTCCCCATCTCTTCCTCGACCCTCTAGCGTTTCTTCTTTCTCTTTTGGTTCCTTGACTTCCAGACTTGTTACTTTTCATTTGTCCCCATTAACCTATATTTTCATGAAGAGTCACCATTGCCCAAGGGTCCCAGTCTCTCCGCAGTCTTATTTCACCTCACCAGCTTGAGAGAGAGAGAGTCTGTCTACCCTGTAAGTTTTGACTTAAAAAAAACACCCGCAATCCTTTTCCTTGGTAAACTTTGATTTCCAATTTACCCATTTTCAGGTTACCAATCTGACACCTCTCTGCAAACGTGCGCTCATTTACCCCTAACATCTCCTGTACGCTGGCAAACGCCTTGCAGGCTAGCTAAAATGACTAAACGTGCAGCAATTCATTCATCCGAGCTTTCTTCCATGTAGTAATGGAAGCATCTCAGCGACTTCCCAAAGCCAGACCATCTCCCCGAGCAAGACAGTATTTGCTGCTCTATAACCCCAGCATTTAGCCCACAGTGCCTGGTTCATAGTAAAGACTCCAAAGAGGCTTACTGATGGACTGCCTTCCTGGACTTCATTTCTTCTCTACACACAAAAAGGCAGGCTGATTACAATTCTACTGGTCCCTGAAGCTTTTCAGGTGTTTCCAGAAATGAATTTTTCTTTTACTTTTATTTCCCCAAAATTGCAAACTTCATGTGGTCATTCCTGCAACCTTTTTTTTTTCCTCTGTAAAATCTCTCTCCCACAAAGATGACATGGAGCTATGTAGATTTTGTTTTTAATCTCACTCACTCTAACATTAAAGTCTCTAAACATTAAAGTCTAAATAACTCCCTTCTACCCTATGACCTTCTTTATTAGCTTGAGTTTTTACTGTGGGAATGGGTATCTCACTTCAGTAAGCATAAAAGCCTCTCCTTGTAATTGCATAGGTAATTTAATTTACAGGGAAATCCCTCCTGTATTACAGAAAATGTTTCAAGATTGATATTCCTTATTGCTGCAACTCCCTAACCATAGATCTGACACCCCACTAGGGACTGTTGTAAAAAGGTCTTATCAGAGTCAAACCCTTTCCTTGGCAACCCACACTGAAAGAGAAGCTTTCTCTTGCCTCCCACAGAAACACCAATTGCAAAGAAACAAGAATGTGATGTTAAATGCTGTGGTACAGCTACTAGGACGCTAAGACAGAGTTACTACTGACTTTGGCCAGGTTATTTCCTGATTTCCAAAACTTACGCTTGTTCGTACATGTGTCCAAATAGCAAAGAGGAATTCAGTTTTAAGCTGATAAGGCAGAAATCTGCATGTGCGTCGAGATGTTTCCATTCACAGAACAGCAATACTGCAGTGCAAATCAAAATTTCTGAGAATCGACATCTATTATACTATTTATTCCAAACTTTGATTTAGAAAGGTAGAAAGGGGAGGAAAAAAAAGACTGACAGAGCTTTAATTGCCCATAGTATGAAAGGCCCCAAAACGAAAATCTGACTCCCCTGAACTTTAGCCCCTCTATCCAGTGGTCCAGCCCAAAGGGTAAGAAGAGATGGTCTGTATTTCTGTTAGAAGGGAATGGTCTCAGTTAAGGAAAAAGATGCCTCACAGAACCCAGCCCTGTTTATTAAAACCGCATCTGGGTAGTTCAGAAGGTAAAGCTGGTCCTCATTAACCCTGCATATCTTTTTCCTTATCTTTGAGTTTGCAGCACCATTTCCTAAATCCTAAAGAAGGGAGAATGTTCACTTTAATTCTTTCACTAGCGTCACCTTGACTTTCAGGAAGTTTAAAAAAAATTGACTTAGATCTCCTTCCCACCTCATCCTTTCTTTAAATCTTCTCCAACAAGCTTTCATATTAAAAAAGGGGGGGGAAGAAAGAGAGAAGGGAAAGAATGAAAGAGAAAATGAGAGATTTAAGGAAAAAGCAATTGTGTTTACTATGTGCAGAGAGGTCTGCACCAGAGTAAAAATGAAAAGACAATAGGAAAGAGAAAAAGGGAAAAAGAAGGGAAGAAAGGAAAAAGAAAAAAGATTTGTGCTGTATCTTCCGGATAGCCTCCTGGGCCCCGGCTTCTAGGCAGGCAGGGGCTGCTGCCCCTAGCCGCGACGCTGCCCAGCCGCATCCCCTCCTCTAGGAGCACCCTGTCCTCACGGCTGCTCCGGCGCACGGAAAACATTGGCCCCAAAGGGTTAACTTTAGTGGCTGGGAGAGCCTGAACTAGGCCAGGCCCGGGGCAGGGTCGCCGGAGCTTCGAGCCCTCACCCCCACCCGCGGCTCCTTGAGCTCAGCGCCGGCCACCCCTGAGAACCCAAGCCGCGAGTTTGAAATGTCACACCGACTGGGCTGGACTAGGCAGCCTCAGGCCCTCGCGTCCCGCGGCTCCCATGCCGGGGCAGGAAAGCAAGCCGAGCCTCGGCAGGCGGCCACGGCCCAGTGCTCGTGGGGGGCGCGGGACTCCCGGGGGTCTCGCTTGCAGGTGATGCCAGGGGCCGATAAGGGGCCGTCGGCCTCGCCTCTGTCTAGACAGAACTTAATGAATGCAGCGGCCCGAGGGAGGGGGGCAGCTGCGGCTGAGATCGGAGAAACCGACGGTCGGACGGACAGATGGACGGCAACATCCCTGCCCGGCTGAAGCCAGCAGCCGCAGCCCCTAAGGGCGCCTCGGTGGTCAGTTAAGGAACCCAACTGGTGTTCCTCCCCCACCGTATTTTCTCTTGGCGTTGATGGAAAACCCAGGCCCGGGGAGCATGACGGCCGAGGCTACTATGTGAGGCCTGGCTGATTGCAGAGGCCAGAGTCGCGGCTTGGGAGGGATGGGGGAGAAGGCGGTGAGTGAGGAATAGGCTGTCTGGAGTGTGAACCAGGAGGAGCAGGAGGTGATCGAGGATGGGGCTGGGACCTCAGGGGAGGAGGCACCATGGTGTTTGAAAGTGGAGGGCAGGTGTGACCTCCGGAAGAGGTGAGAGGAGCTTGTAAAGGGGAGAGTGGGAGGAGTGAGCCTTCCTTTTCCCCTACGCCGATCAACGTGAAGGCTCCAGTGCCAGGCGACTAGCCCTGGCCCTCGGGCGGCTTTACCCCACCCTGGCACAATTTGTATTCCTCTTTTTGTTTCCTTTTCCAGATCCACGTGGCCCATCCCACCTCCGGACCCTAAGGGCTGTGGGGCCCCACCCTCAGGCTGAGCCAACAAGACGCACACAGGGCAAGCCCAGAGGGTGTGGGGTTTTGCTTTTTATTATTAAGATCAAAATATCAGTCCCACTGTGAACTTGCTGTTCTCAATAAATAGCAATAACTTACGTTTGTTTCTTTGTTCGGCAAAGGCTCACACACTCTGTCCTCCATCCACTGATAAATTAAAACATTTGCAAGAAAAGTCTCTTTCTCCATATATTTGGGGTTTGGTTCAGTTTCGTTTTGGTTTTCCAGCAATCATGCGATTTGGGGCTTTGGGTATTCTTTCCTTTCCTTTCCTTCCTTTACCCTCCCCCCATCCCTAACCAACAAAAGCATTTTTTAAAAAAACCCACCAAACCAAAAAAGGAATGGCCAGTTGGTGCGAAGCTGACCCCAAGGCCCCAAGTGGGCCATAGGGAGAAAAGGAGAGGTCAGCCGTCCCCAGCTTCCGGGTGGGAATTGGTTTTCTTTCTTTTTATAAGCCACCAGGTGAGTTGGGATGAGGGGAGTCAGAAAGCCGGATTACATGGTGTATGGGGGGAGAAAGGGGGAGGGGTGAGGCCTAATCCTAGTAAATCCTCAATTTTGGTTTCACAAAATAAACCCAGCAGAGAAAGGGTTCTCCAGTCTGAAGAAGGAAGGTCACATCCTGGTGCTTTTGGCAGTCAAGACAGTATCTCTCTTTTCTCTCTCTCTCTCTCTCTCTCTCTCTCTCTCTCTCTCTCTCTCTCTCTCTCTCTCTCTCTCTGTCTTTCCTTTGAATAACAATAAGAATTAAAAAAAGGAGAGAGGGTTTTCAGAGAGCTGGAATGGCCTGCGCATGGGCGAGTCTCATGCAGGGAGCATGCGAAATCCACGGGAAGAGGGGCCCACGGGCCCCAGGCTCCTCACGTCTCCACAGGGCTGGGCACCATGCTGTTCGGAGTGTCCGGGAGCTGGGAGGATAAGGAGGTCACGTCGCTGCCAGAGGAGTTCCCCAGGGAGCCTGACTCAGAGAAGGACACCTGAGGTGGAAGGCAACAGGGAGAGGGTGAGGGAGGGATGGGAAGCATAAGCCCTGGCCATGCCTCCTCCTGGCCCCCCTGCTTACTTTGCCACGTGGGTCTGCAATAAAATGACTTTTAAAATAAATGGAATCCTCTCCACTGAGGGGCTGACAGCAAGAATAGGGACTTAGGAGGCAGGGTCCCTCCCCTGCCTGTGGAGTCCCCCCTCCCCCTCCAGGCTAATCCCTCTGGGTCAGTGCCCTCAGCAGGGGGGGTTGGGTCCTGTGTCCCAAAAGGGCCTTTCAAATCCCAAGCTAAGCACCCAGTTAGCATTGGAGCTGAACTCGGAGGTAGAGGGCTACTCTAAGCCTTCACAGAGGATTTGGGTTGGGTCCACCCCTCTTTCCCCTATTAGCCTGTACCCACATCCCGCCACGGGCTAAGGTCGAGGGAGAATCTTAGTGGAGCCATGGGCGTTGGGGGGGAGGAGAGGGGGGAGTCAGAAGAGAAGCTGAAGCTTGGGGGTGGGGGTGGGGTCCTCACCAGTTGCTGGAAAGCTGGCTGGTCCAGGTCACTTTGTAGGGCAAACTCGCTGAGTGCTTTCCAGGGCGGCTGATAAGTCTGTACCTCCACTGCACTGCCCTGCACGGCGCTCTCATGGCGGATTGGGCTGCCAGCCACCAGAGGCGTCCCGGTCAGACCCTGCAGGCTCTGAGGAGATCAGCACCCAGCTGATGTAAGGGACCCCAGACCAAAGTGACTTCCCCACCCACCCGCTTCACTGACTACACACTTGAAGGCTGGGCCCCTCCAACCGCCCAGGGAAATGCAGAGGAAAGCCCACATGCCCATCCCCGAAGCACACAAATAAAATGGCTAATATCCCCTAAGCCCCAACCCTGAGCTGGAATGGCCTATAAAGGGCTCTGAGACCCCTGACACCAGCCTGGCCAAAGGGCTCTGAGACCCCAGACACCAGCCTGGCCACACGCCTCCTTCCCCCAGGGTTAGAAACCTCAGGCTTCCCTGGACTGCGGGCCCCTCGGCCACCTCCCGCAGGCCCCAACTTCCTCCCCAAGAAGACCCGTCCGTGGCCTCTGAGCTGCCGCCACCTCCAGGTGCAACAGGTTCCGGGAGAGCAAAGCTTCCAACCGAATTACGCGGAGGAAAAGGCAAACCCCGAGATTAAGGAAGAAAGAAACCTCCCAACCCTAGCCAGCCGGGCTCTAGTCAGTCCCGTCTTCGCGCCTCCCAGGCCAGTTCCCTGCCTTCCAAGTTTTGAGGCAAATAGCTTCAACCCTGATACGATTCTGATACACACGCATACCCCACCTGGGGCGTCCAAGGGGGTACAGGAAGGTGCTGGCTTCAAGCTACTGCTGAAGGCACCAGGTTAATTAAAGTATCCCCCTTGCTCTTCAAAGCACCTACTTTGCCGGACCAAATAGTAACAATAATTCTATAGAGACATAAATACATATGTGTACGTATGTATATACACACACATATACATATATGTGTATACATATGGTCTACACTGTATACGTGTGGGTGTCTACACAACACACACACAGCGTCCACACCCTCCACTCCCCCCCCCACACCGGGAGCCGGGGCCAGTGGCAGAGACGCCTCACCCACCGTCTTGTCGCTGTGCTGTTGCTGCTGCAGCTGCTTCATGAGGATGGATTTCTTCTTGTCTTTGCAGCGTTTGTTTTGGAACCAGACACGGATAACTCGCGGGCTCAGCCCCGTCATCTCCACCAGCTGCTCCTTCATGAGCGCGTCGGGCCGCGGGTTGGCCGCGTAACAGGTCCGCAGCGTGTGCAGTTGCTTTTCGTTGAGAACTGTCCGCACCCGGGTCGTCTTCTCCGTCTGCTTGTGCACGTGCGGTCGGAGCGAAGGCTGCCGGCCAGAGCCTGCTTCTGAGGGGGTACGAGGGACGGGGGAGAGACCGGGAGAAAGCCCGTGTAGGAGGCAGGCGTTAGCACCGAGCTCCGCCCGCTGCCCCCAACGCATCTGTCACCTGTGGGAACTCCTTCTGATAGGGGGACAGGGGCAGGAGACAAGATGCTTTTCGGATTCGATTTATTTCGTTTAACTTTATTGCAATTTCCTTTCATAAAACAATTTCCACGCGTTATTTTGCTTGGCTTTTCGCTGAATTGAGGGCAGGAGCTTATTTCACTTTGGGTTTCCCGGACCGAGCTTAGCCTAGTGCCTAGCACATCGTAGTGCTTGAATAATGTTTGTTGATTGACTAATTGAATTAGTATTTATTCTATTTCTCTCTATCCCTTTGCCTCTTCCCTAAATTGCCACCAGCCTATCTAGTAATTCTTAAAATAGACAATGAAGACTCCAAACTTAGAATGGAACCTCCGCGCACACATCCCTGTCCCCTCTCTGGAAACACACACACACACACACACACACACACCCCTCCACCTTAGGCCATTAGAATGAGCTCAGCCTTACGCCCCTCCGCCCCCTCTGTCATCCACAATCCCCAAGGTTCTTTCTCTTCCGGAGCCTCTGCTCTCTTGCCACACACGGGAAAGTGCCGGCGTCCCAAGAAAATGCGCCGCTGGCTATGGACAAGTCTGCTCGGTAGCCCCAGGCCCTGAACAGCTTTCGCTGCAAACGCGGGCGGAGAAGTAACATCTCCAGTTGCCAGGGACTCAGGGCCACTTTCTCAACACTGAAGACATCGTCCCGTGATCTTTCTGGCTTTCTCCTCCTCCAATTACCCTTTTCCTCCCAGCACTCCCATCAGGGGTGCTTAGAGGAATCATTCAAATCTGAAAGGCCAGAGCAGCGCTGGGGATTCTGAAGGTCCCAGGCTTCTCCTTTTGGCTTGAGAGATGGATGGGGGGTGGGGAGGAAGAGGAAGAGAGAGGTCCCGAGACCTCTTTTCCCCTCCCAGTCAGACAACAACTGGGGTAGGAGCTGGCACGCTTTTACTCTCCTCTCTCTCCGGCCGATTATTCAGACAGCCCAAATGTTGTTTTAGTATAAGGCAGTGCCTTCCAGGCCTCTGATGAGGGAGGATGTCTCTGTTTTCTGGGATAGCTCAAAAGTGAATCCTTCGTAGCTGGCCCACTCCCTGGGGCTCTTTCCCTTCCTGCCACTGTGCCCTTCTTCTCCCAATCTCCCTAGGCTTCCTTCGCTCCTTGTTCCAAGCCCGGTTCTTTCTCTTCCAAGCTGTTCCTCACCTAAGATTCCTCTTCTCTTCTCCAGGGCTCTCCCTCCTTCTGGGCCTCCTGATCTAGAGATCAGGCTCCTCAGACTCAGAGCCCAGCCTCGGCCTCCTGAGACCCCAGGCTCCTTAGCTTTCTTGACACAGGGCCTCAGTTCCTTAGTTATACCAGGGTAAAGAAAGGGAGTCTTGAAACAGACCATCTTAGGAGCTTAGGACCAAAGGGCAAGTGGAGAGAGCCCCTTTGAGGGGGCTTAAAATAGGATCTGAGTTACTAAATGCCAGCTAAGGGCCCTCAGGCCCTGAATATTCACTAAACCATCTTAATTCACTTCTATATCTCTATCCAGGGAAAAACACCGGTACCCTGGGCTCCAGATACCGTATGCTCTCTACATATATTCAGATATCTGGGGCAGAGGCACTCTACTTATTCTGCACCTTCAATACACACACACACACACACACACGTCTACCCACTGTGTATCTTTGTCAGTCAACACTCCTATCTATGTCACAAACACAGGGACTCAAGCAGTTGCCTTAAGGTAGAATGGGGTCTAGTGAACCCAGCCAAGCTTCGTTTAGTTAGCAGTTGAATAGGTTCACTTCAAATAGAGTGCACCTAGGAAGAGTCTGACTTTCAGACTATATCTGAATTTTCAAAACACTGAAACCTCTCTGTCAGTGAAGGGGGCCCCTTACACGGAGGGAGATGGTACTTTCCCTAGAGAGGGTTTTGCAGCCCACATGCACACTGGTGTGTCTGTCTACCAGAGGCCCCAGTGTGAGACTTCAAGTATTAAATTACTCAAGGCCTCTCTCTCTCTCTCTCTCTCTCTCTCTCTCTCTCTCTCTCTCTCTCTCTCTCTCTCTCTCTCTCTCTCTCTCTCTCTCACACACACACACACACACACACACACACACTGCCCATAGGCATTATCTTTAAACTCCCCCGGACCAGGATAGAGATTTTCCATAGCCCTTACCTGACAGATGTAGGCCCCTGCTGCTTGGTAGGTGTCCTGGGCTCCGAGGACTCTCCACCGAGGCCCTGTCCAGCAGGAGGCTGTGATCTGCCCGGCACAGAAGCTCGTGATCCCTTAGGGAGAACTCATCCCCCGGCAGCAGCTGGCGACTGCAGACCGAGCAGCGAAGCACTCGATATGGTAGACATTCTCCCGGGCTCTCATCACCAGGTCGCTGCTGCTGAAACCCACCTTGCATTTGGCACACTTGATGCCGAACAACCTACGGAGGAGAATGGGGGTGAGGGATAGGAGGGGGAGTTTGCAAAGTCTGTGCCTTTAACTGCCTGCGAGGAATGCCCGAAGGATTCCAGTCTGCTCCCTGGCTCTAGGATAGGCTTTGCCCTCCTGCAGGCCCGAAGCTACTTCTCAGAGCAAACTAAAACAGCAACATGCCCACCGGCTAAGAGAAGAATATAATCCCGGGCCTCTCCTGATTTAATCTGTTCACCATTCTGTCTCTGCTTGTCTTCTTAATTCTCTCTCTCTCTCACACACACACACAAATATATCCTCGTGCAATTACATACACAGAAAAATACCTACACATTGACACACACATATATGCATATAGTCCCACTAATTACTATATTCATCTATATCCATATAGTAAAGCACAAACATTTGTACAAATGCTTCTACATATTCACTTCTATTCACACTCACTACTGTTACAAATATGCACACATACTCATACACACATACAGGCGCGTTTTGACAAACCTAAGTGTTTCCCCTTCTCTCTTTTTATCTCTGTTCCCTCTCTTTTTCTGTCTCTCTCACTCTAGCTAGTTCCAGGGTCACTACTGAGCAAGCACAGGGAAAAAGCTTGGCAGACTGTGTTGCCTGATACCACGGGAAACGATAGTTTTCAAACGACAAGAGCTCAGCGTTCCTGGAGAGGATCCCTGCTCCAGCGAACAAACGGGAGAGTGGACCATGCAGTGACAAGGAGGGAGAAAAGTTTCTGAGCAGCCCCAGGAGCCAGCACTAGGAAAGGCCCAGGTAGAGAGATGCGGGGGGCTCAAAGTGGGGAAAGCCGGTCCAGGTGGGCAGCTTTAAAATGAGCGCTGAAGAAACGGAGCCGGGGGACAGGGGGAGGCAGCCAAGGTCACGTTCCAGGTTGGGGCTTTTCTTTGGACGGATAAACAGCGACGCGCATCACCTGATATAGTCCCTTTTACAGTACGTCTTGCCGTTTCTCACAAAACACGTGCAGGTTTCGTCCAAGTACTGGCTGCATTCAGCGCACTTGAGGCAGGCTGCATGCCACTCGAGGTCCGGAGAGACCTTGAGGATGTACTGGTCATGAATCTGACTCCCGCAGCCGACACACATAGCAATCCCGGGCTTTTCTACGAGGGGAAATGAACAGAGGAGGCAGATTCAGGAACCCACCATCGCCGAACGTATTTGCAAAACAACTTTTATTTATGTATTTCTCTCTCTCTCTCTCTCTCTCTCTCTCTCTCTCTCTCTCTCTCTCTCTCTCTCTCTCTCTCTCTCTCTCTCTCTCTCTCCCCTCTTTCTTTCAAGAAAATCACGACCACCCATCATCATCAGGAAAAGGCCGCTATTACTAAAGGTTCGTCATTTGAAAGAAAAATACCACCCTCCAGATTTGCGAAGGCTTTTCCTCCCTCCCCAGATATTTCCATTTAGGATCCCTTGGACTTTTCTTTATTATTATTATTATTTTTAATCTAAAGGAGCTCAGTGCGAAGATGCGAAAAGCCGCCACCAAGAGCTCGTTTAAGCGTCGCCGAGCGCCGGGCTCTCCAGCCCCTGCCGCCCCGGGGCCGCTCGGCTGAGTGCACCCCGGGCTCCGCGACTCAGGCACCACCAGACACCTAATAGCCACAAATACAGAGGACTCGCCCCGCGCCGGCAGACTGGCACAACTCACAAGTACAAGGCGACATTCTTCCTTTGGAAAGCACGAAAGGCTAAAGGCGAGGAAAAAGAAGTCTGTGCCTCCCTGCGACCCTCAGTAAGCCTCAAACCTGGCGGCATAGCCCCGGGCCAGCAAGAATAGTCTCTGATCCCCAAATATTAATAATATTCGCCACAGGGAGAAACAATCCTGGGATCCAGAGGGGCTGGTGCATTCGTTTAAACATTGTCTCCCCAACCTCCTTGTCAAAGAGAAGCCACTTGTAGAAGCTGCTAAGCATATATATCAGCAAAATATTTTCTAATATCATGCACACACACAACACGCGCAGGCAGGCACGCGCGCACACACATACACACATAAAAAGACTTACTCTTGGAATGATCCCCCATAGCACCCAGAAAAGGATAATTAAAAATAATATCCACCATGCGCAAAGTGTTATGATGCGGACAGAAGGATGGTCGGGCTCGTCCAGTCTCGGCTCTTTGCTAACTAACTCCTCCAGCCTGGAGGACTTGGGTGGGAGAGGAATTCTGCACTAGCCCCGCACGCCGCATGACATCAGCACGCTCCCAGCCCCCCGGGCCCAGAGCCTGGGGGCGGGGTCTGTGACGTCACAGCAGGGTTTAGAGATGAGGGGGAGGCGGGGAGATGGGAGAAGAGGTGATGTGGGACGGGAGAGGAGAGGTGGGGGGAGCGCAAGGGAGATTGGCCGAGGGGGAATGGGGGCAACTTGATTGGCCAGAGTGAACAATGGAACGCAGACACCTCCCCCCCCACCCCGTAATCTACAAGAATTCTCTCCAGCTCCCCCAGTGCAGTCATTACAGACCGTCAGTCAGTATTTAGCAGAGCCCCGCAAGTCGGCAGCTCTCTCCCTCTTAGCTCGCACGGTGCTGAGCCTTCCCGGCCCCGGGCGGCTGCTCCTCCCCTCCGCTGTCCTATGTCTCATTCAGGAGATGAATCTGGCCCTATGAGAGCTGGAATGTAGACCAGCGCCGCACTTACTACTTAGGATTGTTCTCCCAGCCTTTTAAAGGGGGGAGGGGGGAAAACACACACACACACACACACACACACACACACACACACACACACACACACACACACACACACACACACACACACACACACACACCCCTGCTAGGGGCGGAGGTGGCTGGCTTTGTTTTGATGGGACTTTGAAAATCACCAACCCCCTTACGGGTTCTCCCTGCGCCTTCCTCCCGGGGCTGCGATCTGGAGAGGTGAACTTGGGTAATGCTGATGTGAAACGATTCTGAGCATTCTCATTTGGCTTCCCTTCCCCCTCCCAACATCTGCCCTATGTGGATATAGGTTCTGACATTGGACAAGGCCAGAGAGAGAGCTGTTCTCTCGCTTAGGCTGGGAAGGAAAGGTTAGGATGGATCCTGATCTTGGTTTTCCAAAGTGTCTTTTTTTTTTAAGGCTGAAATAGACTCAATGAAAATATGATGCATTTATTAAATGTTAGCAGAATATGGCCGTTCCTGCTGGGAAGGATGGGAAAGTCATTTACAGATGTTTTCCGCTTTTAGGGCAAATTACTTTTTAGAAACGATTCCGTATTGTTCGTAACCAATAGTAAGGGAAATAACGAGACGTGTATTGACTTTGAAGAGCTGATTCCCTGAAACTATTTCTGGATGGGGTGTGTCAATCTACTCCACTCATACTCCTCTCATCACCCCTATTTTTGCTGGACCAAAGTGCTCCACGACCCTTTGGAATGTAAGGTGCTCGGGGATAAGGGTCATCTTTGCTTTTGTATTTGTATATTTAGAGCTTAGCACACTTCCTGGCGCATAGAAACTTAAAGGTTTATTGACCAACTCTTTTGCCCATGGTAGTTCAGGCGTTTTAGTCGAATCGTATTCTTCCTGACCCAGTGGCAAAGAGACTGGAGTAGTTTGCTATTTTCTTTTCCAGCAGGTTAGGCAAACAGAGGTTATGACTTGCCCAGGGTCATACACCTCCTGAGTGTCTGAGGCAGGGCAGCCTTTTCATTCATTCATTCTCTGGGTAGAGATGGACAATGGGAGCTTCAGACAGGGGAAAGGATACAACATTTCTGAGCCGAAATGTTCCCCGGATTTGTTTTTGCTTTTTTAAATTAAAGTGGTTTTCATTTTTAAAAGATTGTTGGGCCCCTGCTTTGGCTCCTAAGCACAAAAAGACCAACAGAGTGAATCTTTCTTTTCCTTTTCTCTTCTCTTTTTACCTTTGTCCTCTCTTTCTGGCTACCTCCCTATGTGTGTCTGTGTCGGTCTCTCTGTCTCTCTCTGTTTCTGTTTGTGTGTCTGCATTCGTCTGTCGGTCCCTGTGTCTCTGCCCTCCCTTCTTCCCTTTTCCTTTCTCATTCTCACCCAGCCTCCTTCCCCTCTACACAACACGGGAGTTCTAGAGCCTTCAGCCTAATTTCATTTCAAACCTTTTCCAGAAGAGCCCTCCAAGGCATTGCTGATGCTGGAGAACATAACCCAGATTGGAGCGCTGGACAAAAACTTTCCCCCACGCCCTATGATTCGGGAGGAAAAGTCTAAGAGAAACAGATGAGACGGATCCAAGCTGTGGCTCCGGAGTCATGAGATCTCATAGTTCTCTGCCCCAACTCCCCCACCTCCCTTGACTTGGCTGCTTCCGAGCTACTGCCCCTTGCGTCTCGTGCCTCACCTGTCTTTAACTTACTCTACTGTTCCTAGAAATTACTCTACCGACATAAAGTAACAGTAACTGCAGGAACAGTATTAATAACAAAAACTAATTTACATAGGGTCTCATGATTTGCAAAGCATGTCACATATATTATCTTATTTGACCCTCACAACAACCCTAGGATGTAGGTCAAATTCTCTCCATTTTAGAGATTCAGAAACCAAGGCTCAGGTGGCAGCTGGGTGGTGCAGTGGATAGGGCTCCGGCCTTGGAGTCAGGAGGACCTGAGTTCAAATCCAACCTCAGACACTTGACACTAGCTGCGTGATCAAGGGTAAGTCACTTAACCCCCATTGCCTCACACACCCCTCCCCCCCGCCAAAAAAAAGGCAGAAACCAAGGTCAGAAAAATTAAACGACTTATCACACAGCTAGGAAGTATCTGCCTCCTTCCTGGAACCCAGGGCTTTCTGATTCCAATTCTAGGGCTCCACAGGGCCCTGGATTTAGAGACGTAAGGCATCGGCAGCGTAATGAACTCCAAATTCCCTTCACCTTGCTGAGGGTCAGCTTTCTCATCTGTAAAACGAGCATAACAACTCGGGTGGGGTGGGGGAGAATGAGCCCTAGAACAGGTCCTACTTGATGGAATTGTCGAGAAGATCAAATGAACTAATAATGGATGTAAACTTTAGGAACCCAAATGGGGAGCTCAGAGATCATCTCCTGGGTTCTTAACCTCAGGTCCGTGAACTTGTTTTTTTTTAATTGAGGATAACTATTTCACAATAATTAGACTCCTTTTTATTTTACTTTATGCATTTATAAACAATATTTACATTCCCTCTGTATCTTATTTTATGCATTTATAAATATGATTCTGAGAAGGGGTCTATTGGCTTCTCTAGACTGTCAAAGAGGTTCAGGACATTTTTTTTTAAATGGTTAAGGGAACCGAGGCCAAGAAACGGCTGGAAAGAATTTGGATTTAGAGACAAGGCTCAATTAATTGCCACTTACTACAAGAGGCCTTTCCTGTCAGTCAACATTTATTAAGCGCCTACTATACGGTCAGGCATTGTGCTAAGCTCTGGGGATATATAGGCAAAAAACAGTCTTCTCGCTTGAAAAGCTTCCAATCGAATGGAGCAGACGAACTGCACAAACGAGCCAGGTTATAGAGATAATCCAATGGAGGTAATTAACCGAAGGAAGGCAGGCATGGCTTTAAGGGGCCCAGGGAAGGCTTCTCCGGCTCTAGCCTGTGGGATTTGAGCTGGAACTCCAGTGACTTTTTCCTTATGTTCTGTATCATTTGTAATTGCTTACCTGCCGACACGTGGTTTCCCCCAGGTAGACCGTAAGCTCCTTGAGGGCAGGGACGGTTTCGTTTCTATCTCCGCATCCCTGGTGCCTGGCACAGTGCCTGGTAAAGTAGGCGCTTAATAAATGCTTGTTGAATTGAACAGAACTGTAGCAGCAAAGGCTTAGGATTCGAACCCAGGCTCCCGGCTTTCTCAGCGCCCTTTCCACTGGAAATGAAAGTTATTCTTTTTCGTTCCCCAGCCTTCCTCATCCCCACCCTTGCCCTTGGCTAGGGTCTAGACACCTCCGCTCAGCCCGGGCTTTTCCCTTCCCTACCGCCTCCAGCCAAAAATAAACAAACGAAGCCGGCTGGGTGGGGGCAGGGGCTGGGGGAGGGGAAGAAATTTCGAAGTGAGGTGGGGGTGGAGGTGAGGTGAGGTGGGGGAACTGCTGCCGGATGTCCGGAGGCCTCCCGGGGCCAGGAGGGACCAGGATGAGGAGGGAGCTCGGACTAGACAGCGGGCGGCGCTGAGCCCCGCCCCCCACCCTCCTCCTCCTCCTCCTCTGGAGAGGAAAGCAAAGGAGAGAATGTCACCCGAAGTACCATCAATAATTCAGGGCCCCGCGCAGGGGCTGCTCTGGAGCTCAGCGGCGCAGCCCAGCCTAGGGCTCCGGCTCCGGGGCTGGAATCAAGGACTCGGAGAAGGCCCCGAGGTCAGCAGTGAGGGCAGGGCAGCCTGTGGGGCCCAAAATCCAAGCCTCCTCTACTTAGCCAAGTCCCTTAACTTCACTGGGCCTCAGTTTACTAGTCTGTAAAAGGAAGCGATTGGACTAAATGACCTCTAAGGTGCCGGTCCTAAGACGGGGAGGCCCAGAAGGGAGAAAAGATTTGCCCAAGGTCGAATGAAGAATGGGTAAAACAGGCAGTAAGAACTGGGCAGGGGGACTGAACGGGAAATATGCTGCCCAACCTCCTGGTGAATCGGGATGGTGGGCTCGGGGTGCAGAATGAGATGGGCGTTTTTGGACGTGCCCAATATGGAAATTTGTTTTACTTCACTACGCATATTTATTACAGGGGTGTTGTTTTTCTTTTCTTTTTTCAAAAGATATGGGGGAGGGGGGGAGAGACAGAGAGACAGAGAGAGACAGAGAAGGAGGGGAAAGGAAGGGAGGGAGGGAGAGAGGAAAGAAAAGAGGATTGAGGCTTTTTTTTTTTAAATACAGGCAACCGAAGGAAGACCAGAAAAAGGCACAGACAAGCGGGGAAGCTTTGAAAGCTACAGGTTGGTCTAATTATTCTTAAAAAGAAAATCAAGCAGTATGTAACATGGATCTGTAGTTTCATGTATAATCCTCCTTTTTGTCCTATAGATACACAAATACCCATTCAACTTAATTTTTAAAAATAACTTTAGAATAAAAAAATTTTTAAAAAACCTTGTTTTAAAAAAGAAAGGAAGAGGAGCCAGGTGTCCTCACACCTAGCCGAATTGCTAATCTATGCACTGTTAGAGAAGAAAGGGAGCTG